TATTGTGTTCAGAAATATGTATAAAAGGTTGGTTGATTTTCCAAACTTCTGAAATTCCAAGAAAAAGATTAATATAAACAATTATTGTTTTAAAAAACTATTTATAATTTATTTATTTAGAATAAAGAAAAAAATTTTTTTCGTATTTTATCTGTTTTATTAATTTTATAATAATAAAATTTTATGTCACGTGCTCTCGGTAAGATGGTCGGTTCTCTCGATAAGTCAGCCAAACATGCTCAGCCATTCGCGGCTGACTTATCGAGTTTACCTATGTATAAATTCATCAAAATAGAAGATTTCTTTTAAAGATTAAATTGCCTCGAACGTAATTGGCGCATTAAAAGCATAACATGCGAATAAGAACGAAATAGTAATGGGAATAATAAAATCATTCTCACGTGTATGTATTAATATTGAATTTTTTAATTCTGTTCACATTATACAGTTATTATTATTGTATACGATTGATAAAAATCAAAACAAAATTTTGCCTAATAAAAATCTGGCCAATAAACTTAATTAAATTTGTCGATAAATAAAACGAATTTTTGTTATAATAATAACGAAGTTTTTATAGTTTCCTCATTTTATTAATAAAATCAACTCAATAAGACGAATGTTTCTATTGTTTCACTTAAATGATGAGATATATAGTAAACAAAAATATCTCACTAATAAGTGATCTAAATTTTATAAATTAGACACCTCATTGAGAGAATTTGAATGATAGTTGTTTTATCTAAAACAGCCAGATATTGACCGAGTTATGGCAGTTTAAAGTTTTTCAACCATTTCGACTTTTAATTTCAACTTTTGACCGCTTTAATTTTTATTTGTATTTTATTAAAAAAATAAAAATTTTTATTTTCAGTATTAGTAAATATTAATCATGAAACTAATGCGTGACATCCATTTAATATAGATAAATTCATAAATTCATGTTATGTTTAAGAATGATAAATATCTCACGTCACTCACAACTATTATTGGATGGTTTTTCCAAGGAGCTAAGTCTCAAGAATATCCTTCTCTCTCACCAGAATTTATTTAGTACTCATCTTGATTAACAATGTTTATTATATATTTATATATTGGAACAATTAAATAAATTAAATCTATTTAAAATATTTTAGAAAATAATAAAATCAAAGCTGATGAATTGATGAATAATAATAATGCAAAATCTAATTTAATAATATTTGATGAACTTGTCTTTGGAACTTTTACATCTAAAAAAATAATAAAAATATTAGCTTAGAGATTATTATAAAATTAACTCTCACTCCTCCTTTGGCTTCCTCCAAAAGATCACTTACTTGTAAAGTCTGCACCACATTTATTTCCCAAAATGGATTTAACGCTAGCTACTGGAGTGGCAAATCGTTTAGTCCTATCAGGATTAGCATCTTGATAATTGAAAAAAGTGTTTGCAATTGCTTTATTGCAAGTTGTACAAACAACATCTGTTGGCAGCTGGTTAAAACTATCCAATGCTGAATCAAATGAATTGACA